TACTTGATATGTATATTACATATGTACAATATCTTATACATGTATATATTTCTGTGTGTGTGCATTATTTGCGACATTATCTGTGTATGTGTATATAATCTTTATATTGATTTATTTTATATATATATATATATATATAAAGAACGGAATTGAATAATGAGATATTTTATGCACAAAGACCTTGAATAGTCACACAAAACCTTGTTGATTTCATGCAAACTATATATCAATTAAAACGTGTTATTGTACTGGTATTCTGCCCTATGTCATATGCTCGTCATTATGCCATTTAAACACCACTTAAATAATGTTTAATCTAGATATGGGTTTAGTGTACTTGGACTTTTGGAAGGATTCTGATAAATTGCTTTACAAGATACATCTTAGAAATATTGCATCTTTTGGAGCAGAAGATAAACTAATTCAACAGATTGAGGGTTGCTTGGGTAGTAGAAGGCATAAGAGGCAGTGGATTTTGTTACTAGCATTGAAACTCGAGTTTTCTGTACTTTTTATTTTCAGTGCTAGCCCTTATCATTCAGATATTTACCAAAACTATATTAAATTTACTCTATCCACGATATCAGAAAACAACCCATTCCAACCACCTAGTTAAAAAAATATAATAGTATTAGCTGAAGATGACTCTTGCCCTGCCAACATTTATATTTCTTAACTTCTACCATTCTCACCATTAATCACAAAGAATGATGATCTATCAACACTATCAGTTCCATTAACAACCTTAAACACCTAATTTTTAACTATTGTAGATACCTTAACATGTCAAAATCGAGGGATGATGGTCCCGCCTTCAAAGTTTTGTTATTAAACTCAAGAGAACAGGCAAACTCCAACAGTCAGATTTAATAGGTTTAATATTTGTAAGGTTAGTTTAAGCATTGCTACAGACTTGCACACACACACACACATGTGCTGGAACATGTTGACCCCCAATCTCATTCTGTCAGGGCTCAGTGGATGTCAGCAAGACTGTGGCAGTCTCTTTGATGACCTGTATGACAATTACCATGTCCAGAAGCTGCTGTCATAGCGACATTTTTATATATTTAGCTACAAGGTTGGTATCTAGAGACTTTAAATTAAGCTGCTGTTTCTCATTTTCCAGGTTTGGGGGGACAAGTCCCCCTTTTCTGTGTATTTAAGCTACTTGTACCTGATAATGACAACACTTTGTTGAAACGTTATACATTTGTTACTGTGTTAAACTTAACTTTGTTACCCATTCACACCATCTTCAATCTTTATTTGTCTCAAAGTGGGTTCTACATCATCAAATTTAATCGTAAACTGTTGTACAGGAAAATTTATCATAAATACAAAGTGGTACAAAGCTTGTAACAATCTGAAAATGTGATTAATAGCATTACACTAGTTTCTCCCTACAAATTTACACAAGACTACAGAACTAAAACTGTAGAAGTTTTGTTGATGGAGTTAAACATATTATTTCATGGCATTTTCAAACAAGAAAAAAATTTATTTAAAACTAATAAGTTTTATTACACTTTTAAAAACATCACTAATAAGGTAATGATAAAAAAACACGACTGATTTTGGCTATTGGGCCTATATTATGTGTTAGTTTGTTGTATACTTCTTTTATTGTTAGAAATAAAATTGTTTTTCAAAACAGTGCAAAAAATGAATGCATGAGATTTGACAAAGAGTACTAATATTCTCAGTTGTTAGTTGGAGTACTTATGTTAAGCTTTTCAAATATATAATTCATGCATATTTCAAGCTAGCCTAAACATCATAGTGTGACGCTTTTTCCAAGCTGGTGAGGCATAATTATAATTAATTATACTTGTCATAAGACATAAGTATTAGACCTATTACATTGTTTAACACTACATTCATTAGTTAGTACCTTAGGGACCTTAGGGATTTTCAATAATTGCAAGAGTGTATAATAATAGTGTTTCAACCATACTATGTTCTCCATATCTATTTGCCGACGGCACATTTCACTCAATGCAGAGCTCATTAGGCTGACTGGGTTGTAATAAACTCAGTATTAGTCTAAATACTATTTATATAAACCATTTATTACAACAGTTATTTTAGTGTCAATGCCTTTTCAAAGCATGATTATAATTAATTATACTTGTCATAAGACATAGTTATTAGGCCTAATATCTTTTTGAACAGTGCTTTGTTTATTTTGTGACAAGTCAAGGGACATGTTTAAGGTCCTTAAGATTATTAAAGCTTTGAAATCTATAAACTTAGATGATGTTTTAACAACTACAACAAAATTGCAGACAATTAGACTAAAGGACAAGAGTTAAAGATATGGAAAATATAAACTTGACTCAACTTAAGTCAGTTTACTTTTCTAATACGGTGGTTGGCCTATGAATAGTTTACCTTCAGGTGTGGTAGAAGCTGCAACATTGAAGGAGTTAACAAGGAATGTTACCAATCAGGTTTGAACATGTGTTAACAATATCCTATATGTGTACAAGTTCTTGTATTTTATTCTAGTTGTGTGTGTTAATTTACTACTTATATTGCGTGTGTATATTTATTTACTTTTTTCCCTCTCTTTCCAGTAAATTTTTTGGAAGAGTTCTGGTTTTGGATAATGCCATACAGTGCTCAGAAAAAGATGAAAGTGCTTATCAGGAGATGATCACCTTTCTTCCATTAAACTCTCATCCTAATCCCAAAAAGGTAATATGTCCAGTAGTTTCTTTTCTTGTTTCTTCTGTTCTAGAATACAAGATCCGTCGTGGTTTGTTGAAACTATCTTTTAATTTCACACAACAAATTTAAGTTCATATTTGTGAATTTTCGTATCTTCTTCCAAAAGAAGAAGAGAAAAATTCTTGAAAGACAAGATGTCCCAAAGCGGAAACAACCTTCAGTGTCATTAGTTGGGTAATGAAATACCCTTCCGAAGCTTCGTAACATTCTTAATCATCAAGACAGTGAGCCGAGATGTATAATGAAGTCAGGCCACTATTACATGTCTATTTGTCAGTTCATTATAAAGACTGAGTTGAGATAGATAGTGAAATCAGGCTACCATACCATGCTATTTATCATATTTGTTTTACAAAATAAAATATGATATTTCAGTTAATTCTAAATAGTATGATTTCAAGATAGACAGAACAAGTACATGTACATGCATATATATATAAGCTTAGTTACCCATATGGTAGTACTTATAGAACTATATAGAAGTAAATACTTACCTATGTACATATAATGCAGTTGTTGAAATGTTGGGTTACAGAAGTTCGTTATACACAATTATACATGATGTATACTTGGGTTCTACAGTAATTTCGACTTATCTTGCAAAATCGTAATACAGTTCTACCTGAAATCTTTTATTATTTGTTGAAAATACTATTTACACTACTACCTTTTTTCCAGAATTTACTCTTTATTCTTTTTACTGTTAATTTTTGTTTATGGCACTCTTTTTTTTTAATGGTTTTTAAATCTACGTGTATTTTGGCCCAATAAATCTCCAGTTAGGATAAGAAGTATGTCTTTTTTTTTATCTTATTCCCTGATGTTCAAAATTATATAATCTGGAAAAATGTATGTGATCTTTTAGTTGAGGATAAGTGTTACAACTTTTACAGAGGGCTGAGTATTTTATATTAGAACAATTTTGAATATGCAAATCAGTAAGTCATGTGACAACTGCAAGTGATATAAAGTTGAGATAGACAGATTGTATCATAACTACAATTTCACATTGCTTTGCATTTCATAATTTGTGTGATACCACCAAAAACTGATTGCTTTTGGGAAGGGTATATAACAGTTTTTTCTGATGCAAGATATTCATACACTTGGGTCATAAAAATGCATTCAGATATGGGAATTTAGAACTTCTAAGTAGGAGATGTCCATTTTACTTAATGACATTGGAAAACAAAGGAATATGGATCAACTGGGGGGTATCGGGACCATCTAGAAAAAGACCTGTAACAAGACATACCCCAGCCATGGTTAAGCAAAGTGTGGCATCTTGTAACAGGTGAGACTCCAAAAATACAAAGATTGGTAGCAAACACCATCCATGTGTCCCAGGCAATAATGCATGACATAATTAAGAAGGACCTTTGTCTGGGAGATCAACACAAATTAAATATACAGAAGTTTCTTTCATGACATACTTGTTGAACTGTTGTATACCTCAAGCAACTGGAGACTGAAACAGGTATTCTAAAGGAAGACATACCAATGAAGTCACAGGATGCAGCTTCTTTTGAATTCTTTTTAACTGGACTGTTGAAATTGGCCCCGGGAAGCCATTGTCCTCATGCACTAGATGGATTTTGGAGAGTATGCATAGAGGAGTGATGTACTTTGAACATAATTTTATGATGGAATCTTTTGCAATGTAAACTATGCTGCAGGGCTATTGTCAAGATGAATGGCCATCAGATACAGCATGACTGGACATAGATGCATGAACCGTAACGATGCTGTAAGGCTCCAGATTTTTGTGAGATGTACTCAACCTCTGTACATGTAAGACAAACAGTGTTTAGTTATAGTATGAGAAACAGGTTCTGTAATTATTATTTTTATGCGGTGTCATCCCTTGGTAGATAAAAAACAAATTTCTGTTACAAAATTTCCAGGTTCTCGATATGAAATGACTGCAAACCGAAAGAAAGTTGTAGTGATAAGGAAAGAAGATATTTATAAGTGATTCATAAATATTGTACCTAATATAAAGGTACAAAATTATGGAACTCCTGGTGATTAACTCTTAAATTACTGCTTGGTTTTATACCATTCGCTGCTAGTTGGATCCAACACTCGGTGTAAAAAAAAAACGTACCAAAGAAATGAGGAGCACAAAGTCGATTCTACACAATGAATCCCAAATCCCAGCAGTAATTAGTGAGATCAGATGCAATGTTGATGGTATTTTGTTATTTAGATCTTGTTGTGTGACTCGTATATTAATTATTAGGGATCTTTTAACCAACAAAGTTTTAAACCCACAAGCCGTTCAGTGCACAAGTAGTTTAAAAAAGCTGATGGACTCCATTGGTAATTCTGTGATGAATTGAGATTATTCATTCTTATTCCTTCATGGGGTGATCATTAGTATTCATTATGTGTACATAATCCCAACTGATTTTAAATTACAAGACTTTAGATAAAAATGAGTAATTTTAGTATTTTACTATATGGTTGCCACATAGTGTAAGCACTGGAAAGTTTCACCAAAAATTTAATATACATAAAGACTATTTTATATCTTTTTACATATTGTGTCTACTAATGGCCAAATTAAGAGTTCGTATTATGTTAGCTTAATTTGTATAAGTACACAAGTGTGTATTGTTTATTTTCTAAATAAAGATTTCAACCATTTTTGCAGTTTTAAAGCTCAGTCTAGTTTGAAACTTTGACTTGTGACATTGGTTGTTAGCCGAGAAAGAATTTTAAGCAGCTTTATTTGGTTTCTTCCAAAGCTGTGGCCCCTCGGTGGGTCAGCGGTAAGTTTGAGGACTTGCAATGCTAATATCCGGGGTTCGATTCCTCATGGTGGACAGAAAGCAGATATTCCATTGTGTAGCTTTGTGCTAAAAAACAAAAAATTCCAAAGCTGTGCAGTATGAGGTTAGATAATTAATATGTATCTCTAGTGTAGATTTTTATACATTTCATGTGATTAATTATTCTTCAGCCTTTACAGTTTTCTTTATACTAATTCTAGTAAATTATTTCTGATTCAAAATATACAATTCTCTCTGTTTGAGAAAAATATTTTTCAGTATTAGTCTTAGCAGATAATATTTTGATTATGTGTAGGTGCTATCACATCACAAAATTCCAGTTTTCTGTTAGTACATAATGTTTAGGTACAAGTAAAATTTATAATGGAATCTCCTGTTATTATGGGAGTTTGTATATTGAAGACCTCGTACCTTAATCTTATATGATCTCATAGTGTAATATCACAATATCTCCTGGTGATATATTATAAGACCTTGCTATTAAATTGTAACGGTCTCGTAGCCTAATGAGGTAATAAGAGATCCCCTGATACAATATTACAAGATCTCTCAGTATAATATTATGAGGTTTCCTATTGTAATATTATAGGTCCTTTAATGTCGCATTAAAAGGTCTGCTGTAATATTACAAAATTTACTGGAATAGTATTTAAAGATCTGATAATAGGTTTAGATTTCTGTGAGAGATAACTCGTCCTCCGGTGAGATATTGTAAAATCTTGTACTTTGCCGTTACATCTACGAGTTCTTCTAGTGCTGTTTTCTGAGCTCTTCTGGCACAGTGTTTTAAGATTCCTTCTTACGGTATTTATTCTACTTTTCATTTTTTTTGTAGGTGTTAGTGATTGGAGGAGGAGACGGAGGTGTGGTAAGAGAAGTTGTTAAACATCCTAGTGTTGAGACTGTTGTCCTCTGTGAGATAGATGAGGTAGGTAGAACCTTTTTTTATGTTATGTAATACAGAATGCTACTGTAATTATTTGATGGCATGGCCAGGTGGTTAGGGCGCTCGACTCGCGGGTTCGATTCCCCGTCCCACCAAACATGCTCGCCCTTTCAGCCGTGGGGGCCTCATAATGTGACGGTCAATCCCACTATTCGTTGGTAAAAGAGTAAGTAGCCCAATAGTTGGGCGGTGGGGGATGATGACTAGCTGCCTTCCCTCTAGTCTTACACTGCTAAATTAGGGACAGCTGGCGTAGATAGCCCTCGTGTAACTTTAAGCAAAATTCAAAACAAACAAACAAACAATTATTTGATGTAATGAAAATGTTTCAGATCAAATACGACATAGTACTACGAGTTATATTTATCTAAAATATAGCCATTATTTTTTTATCATGCTCAATGTTGGTTTTGAAAGAGTTATATGATTGGCACTTCAATATAGTGAGAAGGATGGTTGCAGTAATGAGTCGCATGTTGTGTATTTACAAAAAAAATATGCAAAGAAACAAAGGATTCTTCATTGTATTATTATTATAATTATAATATTGTGTACAATAATGTGTGATGGAGATTACTGTTTATTGAGTGCAGCTTTTCTCCATAAATACAATCCAGAATAATCATCCTTCTTCTTGTATACATTTTGTAACTAGAAACGGGACACTGCACATGTTTTGAAAAATTAAATACAGTTTGGATTTAGTTGTTTCAACAGAAATATTTTGAGCTGACATTAAGTTGATAAAAATATACAAGTAAAAACCTATATTAGATATTCTCCTCCAACACACATTTCTTGTTACACTTTTTTCACCAGTTTAAACATCAGATATTATCTTTCAACATGCATTCTTTGTTCTACATTTTTTGCATCAACTTGAGCATCAGATATTCTCTTACAAGATAGATTTTTTTTGTAATTGCAGCATTGTTAAATGAATTAATAAAATTATAATAAACAATTGGAAGAGATTAATGATAGATTAATGTAATGTTAATGAAATGCAAGTTTTAATTCACAACTTTTCAAATTTATCACGGTTAAACCACAGTATATGTGTATCTAATCTGTCATGTGTTTTAGTCTAAATATTAAGAGATGTTTTACTAACTATCCTGACAAGAGACAACAAACAAAAGCTAAGTCATCACTTCTAAGCTTCGCATGTTCAAAAGTAGTTTAAGTGTTGAAATATTGGTCAGAAAATTATCAAGTAAAATATAAGTATAATCAACTATTCTGCTTTTCATATGTTTAGTTCAAATTAACTGAATGCTCACATTTGAAGTAGAAAAGTTTGTTTAAACAACAGAATGTACGTACGTATAATTTAATGACAACAATGAACCTGTTGGTCAATCTGAGTAGTCTCGTCCACTAACTAAACTAAACTTTAAAATCAGAATAAAACATTCAAAGCCAGCCCTTGTCACTCAAATATTTATCACGTCTTCCCATAAACGTCTTTAAACTAACCATGTCTACTACATCTGAGGGCAACCCATTCCAAAGGTCAACCACCCTGTTAGAAAAATAAAGCTATTTCTAGCTGAAGATGACTCGTACCCTGCCAAAGTCTATATTTTGGTTTCCTAGTCCTACCATTCTCATTATTAAATAAGAGAAATGATGATACATCAACACTATTAATTCCCTTGACAATTTTAAACACCTGAATCAGATCCCCTCTAACTCATCTTTTCTGAAGAGAAAATTTCACATGTCTTAACCTGTCTTCATATGGCAACCATTACATCCCATATATCATCTTAGTAACCCTCTGAATCGTTTCCCACAATTCAATGCCCTTCCTAAGGCAAGGAACCCAAGACTGAACAAATATTCCAAATGTGGCATAACCGATGACCTATACAATGAAATTATAACCTCTTTTGACTGATAAAAGTATATGATAAGTCACTGGACTGTTTGAAACACCCAAGTGACATGCTTCTGTAACTTCCTTTACAGAAAGTGATTGAGATTTCAAAGGAGTACCTTCCTTTTATGGCAGAAGGTTTAAATAGTCCGAAGCTAGTTCAGTACATAATGGATGGAGCCGAATTCATGAAAAGCCATCAGAAAGAATTTGATGTCGTTATTACCGATTCTCCTGACCCAAATGGTGAGCAAAGTGTCAGTGAAGATTAGTTTCTTTTTAACTGTGTACACTTTTTTCTAATTTTAAATTTTATTTCATTTTATCTTTATAACTTTTTTATTCCTCATGACATATGAGAGTGATTAAGTTCTAATTTCAGGTTGAATAAAATTTGGAGTGAAGTAAAAGATTGCAGATGTTTCTACAAGACATCTCAATTATCTTTTCCAATTATATGAGTATTTTTATTATTTTTTTAAAGTTTTATCAACTTCCAAAGCATGAGATAGTATTTTATACATGAAAAAGAGTTCATGATTAAGATTTTTCATTGCTGAAGTAAAGTTAGTTCTACTTTATTGGATTTATCTTCTTCGTCGTTTTTGTATTTTACAAAATATTTTGTGAATAATAGATTCTAATTTATGATCTTGAGGTTTCTTCCATCGAATGACTTATCTTCTATCATATTTTACTGCCAAGTATTAGAAGCTTGTTACATCAAGAAATAATTATGAGTGCTAGAATAGGTCCTGCTTTTATGTTATTTCTTCTCCAGAGTAAGCCTTTATTTTATATAGTTTTCTTCTAGAATAAGCCTTGATTTTGTATTATTACTCCTCCAGAGTAAGCTCCATTTTTATGTCATTTCTCCTCCAGAGTAAGTTCTTATTTTATGTAGTTTTTTCTCAAGAATAAACCCTGATTTCATATTGTTACTCATTTAGAATAAGCCCTGATTTTATGTTATTTCTTCTCCAGAGTAAGTCCTGGTTTTATGTTATTTATTATCCAAAGTAAACTCAACTCTTGTGTTGTTTCTTCTCCAAAGTAACCCTTACTTTAATTTTTGTTTCTCCTCTGGAGTAAACCTTGCTTTTCTGTCTTTTTTTCCTTGGTTAAGCTATAAGCCCTGCATTTATTTCTTATCCAGAGTTAGCCCTTTTTTTATAAACTCAAGTAGACTTAATATCCAGGGTGACGGAACAAACTCTAGTGGGGAAAGGAAATAAAATATATTAAAGTTAGTTATTTAAAGAAACATGTATTTGGTTGAGCCTTCATTTATAACATTATTTATTGTCTGTGTTTTGTTTTACAGGACCAGCTGTGAGCTTGTTTAAAAAAACGTACTATGAAGCCGTGAAAGAAGCACTCAAACCTGGAGGTATTCTGTGTTCTCAGGGTGAGTCTGTGTTATTGTCCACAGGATTAATGCAGTAAGGTACCTGTAATGATCATTACTTAATAGGACCCAAAAGATTAACGATTTTGAAAGTAGAACTTGGGACTTAGTACTTTCTCTTGTCATCGAGATTTAAAACAAATTGTTAACAGGGAGAGGTGTCATTGACATTAGTTGCATTTGTTCATTCTTATATTGGAAGTATGAGTACATAACCAAGTTGTATGAATTTTGGTAAAACATAGTAACTAATATAATTTCACAACTTTTTCTATTACATTATTTCAGTTTTTTGTTACATTTTATATATACCATCAGTTTCAACTTACTTGTTTTTATTAACATATTTCTTTAGGTACTTATTTTGTCATCAGTTCCAGTTATAAATAATAAAAAACACAGTGAAAACAGGACAATATTTATTGGTGTGTAAGGATGACATCAGTTCAGGCTAGGTAACAATATTCTTGATGGAGTTCGACTTATACACAGGGCTGTAGGAAGTGGTAAGGCCAGTCAGGCCACGGCCTGACCAGATTTTTGTGGCAGGTATAGCTACAATTTGTGTATTAAAACACTTCTTTTAATTCAATATATTACATATTTTTAGTTAATATGACTAAACATTTGATCTTGTAGTGTTAAAGTTTTCTGGGGGGGGGGCATGACCCCAGATCCCTCCCTAGAAATTGCATGCTTTGCATGCCTGAAGTGTGTCATATTGTTTAGCTATGGGCAAGTCGTAATGCACAACCACCCAGTGGCACAGTGGTATGTCTGTGGACTTGAAATGCTAGAAACCGGGTTGTGGTGCCTATGGTAGGCAGAGCACAGATACCCCTTTGTGTAGTTTTGTGCTTAACTACAAAAAAAACAAAACATATTGCCCATTTCACAATTTTTTTAGTTACATTCAAAATTTAATTAAAATACTTCGTTTTCATTATATCTGGCATCAAAACATAATTAATAAATCAAATTTTAATATTATATAAGTTTTTTAATTTTATAAAGAAATATTTTAAAAAATCCTCAATCCCTCTAGGATAAAAATTTATTAATTATTATCTAATTTATTTATCACCGCTCCAAGAAGTGCAAAATTTAATGCAAATTATTCATTAGAATATAATTATTACTCGGGCAAAGCTTAAATTTTATAGTCTTCAATCTTATTTGTTTACAGAGCCATAAAGTAGAAAATTGGACCCACATCCTCTCTCTGAGTTTTAATCTATCGAATGATTTATTATATTACAGAGAATTGTCTATTTAGCTTCCAGTTCAAACTTTAATCTCACGGGAACATATCAGTGAGCTTAGCTGAATTTTTAATGGCTCTAATCCCATTGTTTGAAAGCCAGGAAAAAAGAAAAGGCTTTAATTGATCTCATTGCCCCAGAACCTGTACGTGGTGAGGGGACCTCCCATTGAAGGTTCTGTATCTTCAGCCTTACCTCCTTTGGGATCCAAACATCCACCCACATGTTTGCCGTGCATCGCGTCCCGTGAAAGGGAGGAGAGGATCCTAATGATTGAAGAGTGTCATTGATGAGTCAGTTTATTTCAGTGACATTTTAACACACCACTTTGGCCTTAAATTCCTGTAGACGAGTCACTTTGGGGAGGCTCCCCTAGGGTCAGTCAGCTGGTCCTGTTGGGCTAGGGTCAACTAAGTACCAGTCTTGGATGTTCTCAATGGGTGTTGTGGACATTGTGTCTGATACTGGGGTTTGGGTATAATGCCCACGAAACCCTGTCATCTCTACAGTGCTCTACTTTAGCATTGTAGCGCATCCACTTGTAAGGCTCCATGGTAGGTGGGGTCAGTGGGCACTGAAGTTTCTCCATTATTATGGACACTGCACCCAGTGACCCAAAAAAACAACAATGAAAAACTTGTTGAAAGGAAAGCGACCATGTTTGGAAGACCCTAAACAGCAATCATCACTCCAAGCTGTACTTGTACTATCATTTCTTCATTCTGCATTCTTTGTCTGACAAACCTTTAGGGCAAATGTCTTCCTTTTTCATTCAGAAAGGATTAGAGGGGCTTGCTGGCTCTCTGAAATTATTTGGGAGGACTTATTGGTGGAAACATCTCACAGCAAACTCCTCCTGAAATCAAAGGCCATGGGGGATATACTTTTTTAGGTTACTACCCATGCTACTTTGAATTCCTCACGAGGAGATATCACTGAGAGAGATTTAAGATACATCCCCAAGTTGGAGAAACTAGCTGGTTTCTGCAGCCAAGGAGTTTCTGCTGTGCGACGTATCTCCACTTGTAAAGAAGAAATTATGGTGTCTACCAATGTTCTTCAAAACACAGCAAACTCCTTCTGAAATCAAAGACCATTGGGGATATACCTTTTTAGGTTACTCCCCATGCTACTTTGAATTCCTCACGAGGAGATATCACTGAGAGAGGTCTAAGAAACATCCCCAAGTTGGAGATACTCGCTGGTTTCTCCAGCCAAGAAGTTTCTGCTATGCGACGTATCTCCACTTGTAAAGAAGAAATTATGGTGTCTACCATTGTACTTGTATTGACGTTTACGTCACCATGTCTACTTGCCACAGTCAAGGAAGGTCATCTGAACTGTAAGGTACAGCCTTACATTCCTGACCCTCACAGGTGTTTTGGACATTCTAAGGCATCTTGTTGTGGTTCTTTGGCGTGTGCACGTTGTGGTGGCAAAGACCATGATGCCTATGAGTGTCAACTGGACCCTCACTGTGTCAATTACGGTGGTTCCCACCCCTCTTACTCGCCCTAAGTGGATGGAGGAGAAAGAGGTACAATATTTACCGATGAAGCTTAGTTTTGAAGTCAAAATATAGTTTTCCTCTGAGGACAGGACATGTTGCACACACTAACGCATCCAAAAATAAATAACCCATAATGTAGCCCCCTTAAAATGAGGCTATCATGACATTAAATGGTAATTTAACAAAGTTCAGTGCAACAGAATTCTTGACCTTTTTTAAATTTTCCAGTAAAATAATTTGATTGTTTTAAAAAAATTAAATAGACTAAATAGATGACTGAAAATATTTTTTGTCACTAGAAGTAAATCTTGGATCTCTGAATAATTTTAGAGATTTCAGACCTGTAATTCACCTCGGCAATACTTTTGAAAAGATAATTATGTATGATTGACCTGTGTTGGGGTCTCCATTAAATATATTCAACTGGATTTGTAGCATTCCATTCTGCTCCAGTAGAAGAAGAAAAATTACGCTTTTTATGCTCTTTGATAAGATTGGAGACTAGACAATTTATAAATCTTGGTTCCAGTACAGTAACCTTGAAAAATGTGCGCAAGTTTTCATTGCTTTATAAAGTAAGCCTTCTAAATCTAGTAGAAAGTACATATATTTAACATTTTACTCAATACTTGGCATAGTTTTTATTTAAAAGCTAGAAAATTAAAATTACTAACTAGTTTTTTATCCTATGGTTTGGCTGCCATTTTTTGTAAAGTTTGTTTGTTGTGTTGGTCATGATCAGGATGTAATCTTGGGTCTTCATGTTAGTTGTTAATGAAGAAAATTAAATGTTAAGAAACAAATGACTTCATTTTTAGTTTTGTAATAAAACATTTTCGACTTCTCCAAGTGACATAAATCTAAGTGTTTTTGTAGATAAGAAAAATTCTCTAAGAAATGTGTGGATTAATGTACTACCTCGTCAGAAGATCAAAACAAATGGAAATGTAGAGGTTTTTATTTGTCATTTAAGAAGATTAGGATGATATCAAGAAATTATGAGTACCACATATACATGTGATCAAAAACATGGCCAGGCGGTTAGGGTGCTCGACTCACAATTTACAGGTTGCAGGTTCGAATCTCCGTCACACCAAACATGCTCACCCTTTTGCTGTAGGGGTGTTATAATGTGATGGTCAATCCCACTAGTTGTTGGTAAAAGAGTAGCCCAAGATCTGGCAATGAGTGGTGTTGACTAGCTGCTTTCCCTCTAGTCCTTCACTGCTAAATTAGGGACTACTAGCATAGATAGCCCTCGTGTAGCTTTGCGTGAACTTCCAAACAAACTTGTGATAAAACAGCCACTCTAGTATCTCCTAAATGGAAAGGTTAAAAGTAATTAGAAGGTTACTAGTATTATCTCTGCATGTCTTGTAAAAGACTTTTCCCTTAAGGAAAACTTCAGAGTATTCAGAACATTGCACCAGCCAATAGCTCTCTCCAATATGGAAAAGTTTAGAGTAGTCATTGGCTTTAAAAAAAATAATAAACAAGCCTAGAATGTACATTTTGTATGTTATAATAAAATGGTACAAAACACAACCTTGTGTTCAATTAAAGAAATAATGTTTGAGTTACTTTCTACCACCTTAAAAACTCGTTTGGTTATTGGTTAGCTGTCAAGGTTACAGAGCTGAAAGCTTTGAATAAAGAACGAGTTTGGAACAAGGTAAAATGTGCAGGGTAAAACAGTTGAGCACTAATTTTCATTGGCCTCCAAAATATGAAACCCAAAGTGCATCTGGGGTTTCTCCTCCCTGCTTGGCTTCTGGACCCTGCTCTTCCTAGTTTTGGAAAGACTATCTCACGGATTTCAGACCTTAAAAATTGGCATCACTGTAGTACTTGTATCTTAGTTAATTCTACAAATTTGGTTTGTATAAATCGTAGTATCTGTTACGTTTTCAGCCGAGTCTTTCTGGTATGACTTGAAACTAATACAAGAGATGACGAAGATGGTTTATGATATTTATCCAGTTGTTGAATATGCTTCAGTTTATATTCCAAGCTATGTCGGTGGGCAGATTGGCTTTCTCCTGTGTAGTACTGACCCTGTAAGTATACTTACTAGTCACCAATTTTCTTTAATTTTGATTTCTCTGTTAATGTACTTGCAAATGATACCTGTAATTTGAAGCTTCTTTTTACTTTCTGCATGATTTTTTTAATGTTAATTGACTCAGTGATGTGCACAGGGGGGTGGCTCAAGACCCTGCCTTGCTGCCCTGATGTTCCAAAAGAGCCTTTTTTTTTCTCTGTCATAACAATTGTCAAAAACTATGAAAAGGTAAACCTGATTCCACTCCTTGCTTGCTACAAGTTATTAGGAAAGAAAAAAATTATTTCAAATTTAAAATAAATAGTCTTTGTAGTAAAAATAAATTATTGCAATATGCTATTAAGTGTTAACGATGAAAAATTCACTGTTTAGTTTAGATCATAAAAATGTTTATAAAACCAATTTAATAGGAATAATTGAAGATCTGTTAGCTTCTCATGAATTTATATCTTATATATACCAAACAACAGTCCCCATAATCTCCTCTAACACCCAATTTTACCCCCCAAAATCAACTTGCCTTATAATGCTTGAAACGTGCCCCCCTCAGTTTTTCTTTTATAATGATCCTCTTCCCTTTTAAGTCCCCATAATCTTCTCTAACACCCACTTTTACCCCCCAAAATCGACTTGCCTTATAATGCTTGAAACGTGCACCCCCGTTTTTTTTATAATGATCCTCTTCCTCTTTAACATCATTTGCACATTACTGTATTTACTGAAGTCGGCTACCATACTAATTCTGTATGAGACATCCAAGTGAATACATTTTTAGATAGATTAGTGTCTTACTGGGTATTAAGTCACAGTAAGACTGATCATTAACTTTATTCATCGCTTTCTTTACCAGCCCATTGTTGGTTTCCACTGAGGGCATCTTTGAAATTAAGCAGGCTAAAACATTTTGGTTCAAAAATGTTAAACTCGGTTTTAATAAGAAGCTTGAAAATTGGGAGTTCTTAGTAAAAGCAGTGAAAATTATGAGGTAAAAAGTTAGGGAAGCAATTCATTGAAAATTGGGGAAGTTAATAATGTTGACAGAGGCACACCAGTGTTTTCTTAGTGGGGAGGTTGAGGTGAGCTAGACAAAAAATTGAGGGGGCTGCACTCTGTATCTTGTGGGCACACATAACTGTAGTAATTAGGAAATAAACCAGGTAGAAATTTTCATTGGGTGTGGGGGGCTACAGTGGAGGGTAAGGCAAACTTTGGAGTAGCTTCATTCACAACAAGCCCCCCCCCACTTCTGAATGTTTACAAATAAGCAGTAAAACAAAAGAGAATTCTTAAGAATATGAGGATTCAAGACTTTTAACTTTATATTTTTAACTAGAACATAGTGAGTAAAGAAACATTACTTTTATACTTGTGAGAATACATGTTGTACTTTTAAATGCATTTTTATCAGTATACTTGTAGGAGTTACTTTCTCTCGTCATTGTAAGTTAAATAATTATCTCATGAGTGTAAAAGGTAAAATAGAACAAATTGATAGAAGTGGTACTTACAAGATTCCTTGTGTCTGTGGTCGAGTTGATCTTCACCAAGTGTGTTAGAAATTTGAAATTCAGAACTAAAGAACATAAAAATGCAGTAGAAAAATATAAAATGAATTAATTAGCTATAGATGAACACGTGGAAAGATGGTGGTCCAGGTGTTGAAGAAATGAAATTCTGGAAATCTTGTAAGCTCTTCAGTTGGGTTAAAAGTCAAGATGTTGCTGAAGGTTTTAAAAAATTATGTGAATTGGAGTAGATGTAGATATACGTCAATTTTAATTATTACTCCTCGTGATGATGGTGTAGAATGCTATCGAAACGTGTATTGTTTTTCTTAGGGTTGTGCCATGTTTTTTAATAAATCTTATTTATTGTGCAACTATTTAACATTGTTTGTATTTTTAATATTTTACTTCTAAGAGTTAACTTCTATATTATTTTTAGGAAATTAACTTTCGAAGACCCAAGCACATAATGTCATCTAAAGAACTGCTGTCCTGTAATCTGAAGTACTACACTCCAGAAATTCATGAAGCTTCCTTTGTGTTGCCAGGATTTGTGAAAAAGGTGCTATGTTTTTTTTTAACTGGCTTTAGTATTTTATTGAATATTCAACATTAATACTAAATTTTGATAAAATTAAAAACGTTCTTAATTAAGAGGCTCTTATGTTTTATATTTTAGTAGGTCTAGTACTGTACCGTTACATCCGACCTTGGCCGTACTAGCAGCTCTAGTTGTATGTTGCGACGAGGGGGGTGGCTCGAAGACCCTGCCTTGCTGCCCTGA